ATATGCTTGGTTTCAAATCGAGCACAAACCACTGATACAGTCAAAACGCAATAAATTTTAAAATTATACTAAACATTTAAAAAAAAACCCAGTTCCTGAGAGAAAAAAAGAATCATGCATTCTAACAACAATAGTACCAAAACTAAAACAAACATTTAGTTTTAATTTCTTTGCTTTAATTTAGGCTAGTTTTCCTTTGTTTGAATGCAACAACAATGAAACTTTCTAATATAGATAGTTCTTCCCTATCTCTTTTTTACAAATGCAATTGTTCACGAATATAATTTTTGTAGTACATTTTTTTTTAGTTCTTCGAAACTATTGTGAAACCTATATTCAAGAGAAACGTAATTAATTAAAAAAAAAAAGTAGACATTCTTACACTTTTTTTCAAATATTAGATTTTTTTTTGTTATGAATTATGTTTAAGATTTTAAGTCATTAGCGTATGTATATTTGACCGAAGCGCCACCTTTAATTTTCATCAGATTTATTTGTTTTAATATTTCACTTTAGGTTGCGTGGCAACCTGAGATAGTTTTNATAAACATTTCACATTATGGCACTTGAAATTTTTGGCCTTTTAAGTTCTTACTAAAAGAGAGGTCTTATCATTTTAGTTGAGGATAGTTTGTTGCCAAATGCAGTTTTAACCTTCATTTATTCCGAAAGCAGTTAAAAAAAGTCGTTTAGATCTGCGTTATTGTTGAAGATCTGCGAAATTTAATTAATTAAAGTTTAAAAAAAATTAAAATGTATATCCTCCTGAGATTTTTTCCAGATATGTCTCTTTAAACCTTCATAGCGGTTCAGCAGGTTCAGCACTAGTCACCCACTGAGGTGCCCAAGGTTCGAATCCCAGCGATGTTTGGATTCGAACATTCCCGACTTCCACCAACAATGAGGTTGACTCAAAACATCCTCATTGGTAGATGAATCATGGGTTGAAATCTCCTTGCTGTCCGACAAACTGTGGAAGGTTTTCAGGGTTTTCCTTTTAATGTAACGCAAATGTAGGTTAGTTCCAACAAAAAGTCCTCCAGGAAATCTAGTTTGTAACAATGCTTGACAAAGGAGTTTCCTCGTCTTCGGGGTTGGGCTCAAAATGACAAGGATACGGAGTTCAACACTGATAGTCGTAAACTCAAAATTGGCTCCGTTTCAACGCTTGTAATAAAATAAACAAGAATTTCATTAGTTTAAATTGAGGAGAAAACATGCTTCCATAGGGTTAAAAATATTTTTTAAAATGATTTTAATAAAAGAAGCATTAAATGCTTCTTAAGATAAACTATATAATTGATAATTAAACATTACTTTTTTAAATGCGTGATAAATGTTTCTGAAGATAAATTAAACAATATAAACAATAATTAAATGTTTCTTTTTTTCCTATAAAAATGTGTTATTTCAAATCGAGCACAACCACTGGTACAGTCAAAAAGCAATAAATTTTAAAATTATACGAAGCATTTAAAACAAAAATCAGCTCCTGTGAGAAAAAAGAATCATACATTCTAACAATAATAGTGCCAAAACTAAAACAAATATTTAGTTTTAATTTCTTTGCTTTAATTAAAGCTAGTTTTCCTTTGTTTGAATGCAACAACAATGAAACTTTCTAATATAAATAGTATTTCTCTATCTCTTTTTTACAAATGCAATTATTCACGAATATAATTTTTGTAGTAAATTTTTTTTAGTTCTTCGAAACTATTGTGAAACCTATATTTTCAAGAAAAACGTAATAAATTTAAAAAAAAGAAGACATTCTTACTCTTTTTCCAAGTATTAGAATTTTATTGTTATGAATTCACTATTTTTTGAACTTATTGAAAATATTTTGAAACAATAATATAATTCTCTTTTGCATTTCAAATCATTTCGCCACTAAAAAAATGGGATCCGTATAATTTCAGAAAGAATAATGATACAAGCTATGTAATTTTTTCAAATTATTTTTTTAGCTAGATCTTGAGAACCACATATGTTTTTTATATTTTATATTATAACCTTCGTTGAACAGCTGTACGACAACTAATGTTCCGTAGTCTTGTTGTTTTGAATCTAATCTAAAAGAAGACAAGGCAAATCCTGGGTTCAGTATTGGGAGAAATTTTCCTCCGTGGAGGAAATTTTGATGGAACTAACGCACTTTGCGTTACATGAAGAGTAAAACCACGAGAACTTCCCACAGTTAGCCTGATGGCAAGGGAACTCAAGCCCATGATCCATCTGCCTCTGAGGATGTTTTACGTCAACACTGCGGTGCGAGCTGGGTGCTGAATTCGTATCGACCAGCCATTGCTGGGATTCGAACGCGGTTCACCTCATTGGAAGGCGAACGCTCTATCCCCTGAGCCACCAAGGCTCAAACCACATATGTTGTAAAACACATACTTATAAAATATTCTTAAATAAAGTATTCAATTTTCTCTTTCAATTTTTTGCTAAAAAGTGTAAAGCACAAAATTTTAGAAACAACTATAAATTTTTTTTATAGAAGTTGTGTAGTTTTTTTTTCCAAATTATATTTAACTAAAAATTAGAAGCCGCAGAAAATGAAAAACAAGTACAAAAATTTCTTGAATAAAGTACGCAATTTTTACAAATTGTAATTCGCTAGAGAATGTGGGGAGCACTTTTGTTTTTAGGAGGCACATTTCGCACCTCTTATCTAAAAGACGATTATTATCAATATAAATTAAACAAACAATCGAAAAACTCTGACTTGAAAGATAAATATTATCAGTATAAATTGTTTGAGAAAAAAATACTATGTAGAAAATTGTGCCCACGAAAAAACACGAGAACAGCATATCGAAGAATTTGGTGTTTGAGAAAAACCACTCTAGAAAGATGTAAAACCATTGCCGAATGGACAGGCAATATCAGGTAAGCGAAAGAAACTTTCAAGTTTTCATGGTCAAAAGTTGGAAGATTTCTAAATAATGACCTCGATTCAACAAGATATGTTATCTTCGTCGACAGGGTATATCCTTCGTAATGGCCACTAGAACACATTGTCAATAACAGACCACACTTCACATCGCTCAAGGTTTGTTGCCGAGTGATGAATTCAAACTCTAAATATTTACACGCTTAGAACTTCAAATATTTATTTAATGGCGTAGAAACTGGCTCCCATACGGAATTATCGAAATTTGACATTTATCATAGAGAATAATTTATAAAATAATACTTGTAAGCATAAATAACTTTTTATTTCATTAGATGTTTCTACGTGGCAGACGAAAATTAATTCATGTATTTTATTTTATAACCGTCGTTGAACAGTTGACTCAATTTTTGGGTTTACGATCACTAATGTTCAACTCCGTTGCCTTGTAATATTGATCCCAATCCAGAAGACAAGAGAACTCCAGGATGAAGTATTGGGAGAAATTTGCCTTTGTGAAGGACTTTTTTGATAGAACTAACCAACATTTGCGTTACATAGAGGGGAAGATCACGAAAACCCCCACGGTGACAAGGGGACTCTAACCCATGTTCCTTAACCACTGAGGATATTTTACGGCAGCACTGTGGCCGATGAAAGCCGGATTCGGAATTCGTATCCCCCCAGCCATCGCTGGGATTCGAACCCCGGTTCACCTCATTGGAAGGCGAACGCTTTATTCCCTGAGCCATTACTGCTCTAATTCATGTGTGATGAACAGGTGAGGAACATGGCGAAAGATGAACAGGATTAAAAGTAGATATAAGAATTACATGATTCGGAGTCGATTATACTGCGCCAAGCTGATAGAATGGGTTTTAGAATTTTTCGTTGAAATAATTCGATTGAAATGAACTGTTGGCGAAATGGTAGTGTGATAAATTGAATTGGGTGAGAAGAGTTAATGTGAAATTGTAGTGGTATTGGTGAAATATTTCGTTGGTAATTTCAACTTCGCTACACTTTTACTGGAAATTTAGTACCCCTTTTAAAACTGTTTCTTCCTAATTTGATCCAAGAGATAATTAATAAAGTGATGCCGTATTTCTAAATTTTTAATAACTATACAAATTATTCGTTATATTAATACGATTTCATTGAAATATTGAATTCTGTCTTTTAAAATTATATAATTTAAAGTGGTGTAAAATACAACTCAATGTCTCAACAAATATTAAATAAAATAATAATTCATAATAATAATGAAATTATGAAAAAAAATAATAATTCCATGTCAAAAATTTATTTTTACAAGGAAATATTTTTGGATTCACAAATTTTAAAATTGTGCACACGAGAAATGAGGAAAGCGTAATAGCGAAATGCGTAAAAAGTAAAATTAACTAATTAATAAATTAATAAGCTAATAAATTAATAAGTGAATAATTTAATAAGTTAATAAATTAATAAGTGAATAAACTAATAAGTTAATAAATTAATAAGTTAATAAATAAATAAATAACTAATTAATAAATTTCGACCGTGCTTCTGACTAAACTACTGGAATCATGCGTCCCAGATTGCGTATTTTGATGGCCAAAAATCCAAGTTCGTGAAAATCAAATCATTAGAACAAAAATTATTTGCTGCAGAATGACTGTTACCGGGCAAAGGGTAATATTTTTAGAGAGGGTTTAAGAAAAAGAAAAAAAAGTAAACATTTTCTCAGGGAAAATAACTTGAGAGGTGTAAAGCTTTTTCCCTCCACTCATTACACCAAAAAAACACCCTATTAATCATCTGATACGGAAAAACAAGGTTTAGATTACAAAGTTTTAAACATTTTAAAATTTCGTTTAATTAGAATATTGAAATTATTTGTTGTTTAAAACTATATGTTATTAACTAATCAATTCATTTTTAATATCAATATTAATTATTTGTTTCTTTTCTTTTCCTTAATGTTTATTCTTTTAAATTTTTTACAATACTTCTAACTTATTTCATGAGATAATTTTATTTAAGTAAACTTTGTTAGTATGTTAATAGTAATGAAAAAATTTTAAAACTGAGTATTCGTACTAAAAAAAAATTAATTTACCTGAACATTTAATATCATCCAGAAATTTCCGTCGCAATTCCTTTATGTGATCATCTTCAACGAAGAATTTATTCTTGAAGATAGGCATACTGAGGATACGCGTGATAATGAACTGTCTGAAGAGTCGTCAGGTGAAAGTGAAATCGATGACTGTTTGGGAACCCCCTGCGAATAGGCTGGGTAAATTCTTAGGGCAAAATTATTTAGATATTCCGTAGGAACTCGTTCCTCCACTTTCTGTTTCGTCAGAACGTCAAGTTTCGTTTGATTTCACTTTTCTGGTCTCTGTTAGATTTCTTTTTTCTTCTCGACCTTCAAATTTCGAACGTTCTTAAACGTCAACTGAGTTTTTATTGAAGGTCTATTCTGTTCTTTTGTGTCCAGGGGCTATCGTAAGTCGAGCGTGAAGATAAAATTAATCACACCTATATATTGACCGTAATGAACTACGTTTGCTTATCCTCCTGGATCTTCTAGATGAAAATAGTAGCTTTATCTGATGCATTTTAGAAAGAAAAAAAGAAGAAATGCAAAAGTGATAAGATATATTATTGAGTAGCGATTTTCAGAAGGCCAAGAAAAAAAAACTGACGTCATGCAACTTGTTGGTTTTCTTTGTTTACATATTTTTTTCGTATCTTTTCTTCTTCATATTTTTTTTTGTAAAAGGGACAATAATAACGTCAAAGTCAGAGGTTATTGTACAGTTTAGACTACTCTCCACGAGAGAGACTACTCTCTTTTCCAAAGTAAATTGGTCGTCCTTAGGGGTTACTTCAATTGACTTCGAAATGTCATTGAAGGGACATGATTTTTCGCAAACGATTTTAATTTTACGTAATATCATTTTCTTGGTGCAGAAAAGCCGCTTGTGTTGGCGTCATGAAAATCGGATTGATGAATGTAATTTAGAATTAAAAAAAAAAGACCCCTATTCATAAAACTATGTGTAAAAACAAATGAACCAATTATGAATGATGAAATAATTTTAAATAAAAAAGCAATTACGTTTTTGTTCAAGTTTGCGTTTAATTTTATATCATAAAAATTCTTTTGCTTAAAATGAAAAGCGGTTTGTTTGAGATGCTTATTTCTTACTAAAACAACTTTTTAAGATCTAATTTAGCTTTCAACTCTATGAGATTTTAGATCTCTTTTAGAGAACGTCAAAAAAAGCTCTCTAAATAAGACCCACTCACAAATATTTTGAACACATTTGAATCGACTTGTTTGTTTAATATTTTTTATTTTGATATTTTTTCGTTTTTCCTTATTTGACCTTCTCCTCATGGGGTGAAGAGGTTTGCCCGTTTAATAGGGGAGGTTTTGATGGTCTCTCCTAAAGGTTTTCTTCAACACAAAGTCTATGGAAAAAATTCTGCGCCTCCCAAAAAAGTCGTGAAACGAAGGTCGCAACACAAAGATAATCTTTCCTGTAGGTTTAGGAAAGTTTGAAAGTTTGTCAAATCAAGAATTTTTACCTGAAAACTAATAACCAGTAGCAGATAAGGACCGAATATTTAAGAAGCACTCGACTAATTAATTTTGAAATACTTCTCAATACAAGTCAATACTTTAACTAGTATAGCTTTCATTGATAGGGTTCAATTATGCTTATTAAAAGGGTTAAAGTGAATTGTTGATTTGTGGCCAAAACTAAAAGTGCTTTGAATAGAACCAAAATTTAAAGTGGATAAGGAAATTATTTTATGTTCAGTGTTTAGGACATCCATAAATGATGTCGCTTTTCCTTTCTTTTTCTTCTTCTCTGGCATCACAACCCCAGGTGGGTCTTAATCTTCCTCAGCCATCCTGTTCTTCGTTAAGGTATTCCACTTTTGTGTTTCAGTATTTCTATCCATTTTTCTTCTCTGTCTCAAAGAATCCCACTTCACGATACTCCAGCTTCCCTTTTCTTAAGTGTCACATCCCAAGACAAAATTCTTGATGGTACAATCAAAAAATTTTGATGATTTATTTTGGTTTCAGTGCAATTCATGATGGTCCGACATCATTTGATGGTCGCCATCATCTAACATTTTCCATTATGCGTTCATGGTTTTTGATATGCCAACAAACTTCCATCATTCCATGATGGAAAATTCTACTTTCATACACTATGATGGTTAACCACAAAGGAAATTTTGATTCTCATGGACAAACAATCGATGGTGAATCGTGATGGTTTCAACTGCACATTTCCATGATGGTTTAATGGGAATTCATGTTGGTTCTCAGGAATAAACCATCAAAACAATTTGTTTTTTCATGTTGGTCCATCATAAATCAGCCTAAATTCCTACATTATGGTGATGGTGATTCATGATCGTTTCATCATTTGTTTTTTAAGAAACTCTGATGGAAACTTCTGATGGTTTAACATGAACAAACCGTCAAAACAAGTTGCTATTCTTATGTTGGACCATCATAAATCAGTCCGAATTCCTACATTGGGATGATGGTTAATTAAGTTGGGTACTATCAAATATATAATCAATTTCAGTGTTTTCACTACAGCGCGAGAAAGCGAGAAACTCGCATTTTTTTTTCTTTTATCGCATTGAGAAATGATCACGGCGAGAAATTCGCGCATTCTATAAATTAATTTCAAAATTCGCGAATTTCGCGCAGTTTGGAAAAAGCTTCGAATTACGCCATTTAGAATAAAATCCGTTTCACTTTTCTTCCTTGATCTTTCGTTATTTTCAACATCTGCCCCGTTATCTAGCTTCCCTATTTACCTATATTGTTCAGAACCTTTTCCAACAACAGAACACAACCCCCTTCAGAACACATTTCTCTGCAACCACGTGTTTACCGTAAGTTTTCTTCATGACGTTCANGTTGGACCATCATAAATCAATCCGAATTCCTACATAGGGGTGATGGTTACTTATGTTGGTTACCATAAAAAATATCATTTTTCAGGATGGAATTATTGATGGTGACCATCAAGACTATGTTGGTCCATCAATGGAAAACCATAAAAAATTTTGACTTACATATGAAATCGCATCACATAAATGTATACTTGCAGTTTAAAAATGTATTTCAATCATATGCATCATACTCCAAATTTTATGTTTCGAACTTTAACCAGGTGTTTTTAGAAAATTGTAACAAAATAGGAACGAAAGACGGAAAAAAAAGAGATTAAGAACGGCAGAAGGAAAAAATATTAACCTGGATCAATTTCACGAAACTCAGTTTAAAATATACAAAATAACCATTTCAAAATTACACGGCAAAATGGTTTTATTTTATTTTATAACCACTGCTGGAACAACCGACCCATTTTTTAGTTGACAAATATCAATGTCCCAATCCCTATCCTTGTAATTAGGAATCCAATCTAGAAAGTGATGTAGCTTTTGATTAAGCATTGCGATAAACTAGCCTTTGTGGTGGACTTTTTTTATAGAAATAACCCGCATTTGCGTTATATGGTGAGGAAAACAACGAAAACCTCCCTTGGTTAGGTCAACCTGAAGCAGATTCGAACCCATGATCCGTTTACGACTGATAATGTTTTATCTCAGCACTGTGGTCGGTGCGAGTCGGGGGCAGAATTCGTAACGACAAACCATCGCAGAATTCGTAACTATAATTAACTGCGCAAGAGCCGTGATTTCTCAGGTGAAAGAGCGTTCACCCTCCAATGAAGGGAACCGGGTTCGAATCCCAACTGTTGCTGATCGATACGAATTCCCCATCCGGCTTGTATCGACCACAGTACTGACGTAAAATATTCTTAGTGGTGGACGATTCCTGGGTTAGAGTCCCCTTGCTGTCAGGCTAACCGTGAGAGGTTCTCGTGGTCTTCTTCTCCGTTTAACGCAAATGTGAGTTCTATCAAAAAGTCCCCCACGAAGTCAAATTTTCCCCAATACCTGATTTAGGAGTTCCCTTTTCTTCTGCATTGTGTTCAAATGATAGTGTTCTGGATTGCCTTTCAAAGGATTTAAAATTGCCCTTTAGTATTACGAATTATTAGATCAAAAATTCGCTTAACGAGATGGATACTTGTTTGGTCCTCATTGTTATTGTATTTACAACCAATCTAAAATACATCTTAGTAGCATACAACAATGATCATTTTCATTGTTTCGTAAGAAAATCAACATTGAAAGCAAAATTTCATATTTTTATTGTTAAAATTAACATCTATTGTAAAAGAATTAATTTCACTTCTATTCTTAACTTTGATGAATATTGAAAGCGTTCTGACTTACTGCGAATTAAAAAGTAAAATGCCAGCCATTAATTGTTGGAAATTGTTGAATTTTGTCGGCATGATGATTTTCATCTGCCCTATCACAGATTATTGTGAAAGACTTCTTGGTTTTATCGAGAGTTGTATAATGCTTGTCTTAGTAGCCATCATGTTTTCCATCTATTTTGCGTGTTACTGCATTTTGATGGCTATTGCTTATTTTAGAAATCATTTGATCACTTATTTGGGTATAGAAGTGTGTTATGATGGCGTAGAAGATGAAGAGCAAATTTATGATTTGATTGATACATGGTTTGGATTTCTTGAATGTGATCTAACAATTACTGAATCTGAGGGAAACTACGAACTTGTACCAATGTCAAATGAAAAACTTGCTGATGAGGAATGTTGTTGCTTGCATCAAGTGTCAAATGGTGATTTAAGTGTAAGTGACGGACAGAATTTGAGGGAAATGAAAGTTTCAAATGATGATATAATGGTTGAAAATCAGATTTGTGATTTAATTGATTCCTGGTTCTGGTTTCTTGTATATGATGCAACAATGACTGAATGTGAGGAAAATTACGAACTTGTACCAATGTCGCATGAAAAACTTGTTGATGAGGAATTTTGTGGGTTGCATCAAGGATCAAATCCAAATGGTTATTTAAGTGTAAATGACAGAGAGAATTTGGCGAATGAGGAAATAATCGAAGAAAAACAAATTTGTGATTTAATTGATTCTTGGTTTTGGTTTCTAGAGCATGATGGAATAGAGCCTAAATCACATTATGAGGAAAACCATGGATTTGATCCTTGCGAAGAACTTGCTGATAGGAAATCTTGTTGGTTGAATCAGGTGTCAAATTCGAATGCTGATTTAAGTAAAAACAGTGGTTTGGATTTGGAAGAAATTAAAGGCCTGTTTAGACGATCCCATTTCTTGGACAGAGATTGATTGATATTGAAGGAAACTTGTTTTGCTTTGAGCTTTGATCGTGTAAACAAACATCCAAGAACTTGGTCCAACTTCTTGGATGATAGTAGAGCATGTTCTACTTTCCATCCAAGTTTTTTCTCCCTTAACCAATCAGCGTCTTAGATTTTGTGACGTCAGGCAGCAAATTATGTCATCTTCTTGTCTGTTATTATATATTTTAGTCCAAATAAATTAATCTGTTACGGTTTATTTGTGTTATTATGACTTTTATTTGAATTTATTTAGTAATTTTAAACTTATTTAAGTA